AAGTCAAGTTCAAGTTTGGCAGCAACACTGAACTTGATATAATAAAATAAAAGAATGAAGCTATTCAGTCTTAAATATTAATGGAAAGATCTGTTGGCTTCCTTCTTTTCTTGATGGTAACTTATAAGCACCTCTTGCTAATATGAATAAAACTCTTTAATTTTGCATGTATATGTAAAGTATTATTGATGTATATTTAATTATATTAATTGAGTTTTATAGATGTTTTATATGTTAATTTCACAAAGCAAAACAGGATAACTGGAGAAGGAAAGTCATGTGATATTTAAAATATAACAAACATGGAAAAAACACTTAAGAATATTGAGACTTTAAGATGAGTTATTGTTCTGAGCCAGCCTGATCAGAGGTAGTGTAGGGTGACGGAAAAACACTGGGAAGGAAGTCAGGAGACCTGGGCTTATTGTGATGTTTTTTCTGACAATTTTTTAACTGTCTCATTTTCTGCATTGGGAAAATGACTGTGTTGGGTTATTAGGTCTGATGATGTCAAAACTCTCAGAGTTCAAACATTACCTGATATTTTCATTCCTCGTGTTGTCACTAAAGTATAGGGATTTTAAAAGCTTGATGAACTAAAGGTGAAGAATCACACAGAACCATTGTTTAATTTTGTCTGATGACATACTTCAGAGTAAATCATAGTCTGCTTCAGGAACTGTGCTAGGCACTTCCATTAGCTATTCTCCTAAAATAACTCTCCATTTAACAGCTGAAGAAACTAAGAGAATTTAATTGAGTTTGTCAAGGTCGCACAGGCAGTGAAGGGCAGGCAGAGTTGGGATATGACCTGATCTGCTGTCTCTGAGTACAAAGCTGTTTCCCTAAATCTCTGACTTGGCATAATATTTATATCTAGATTATGACAATATTAATTAATGTTACACTGATGTTTTTTACTTGTAAAATAGAAAGTGATGTGTAGTACAATTTGAAGAAATGCTGATGGAACGACTGACACTGATATTGAAATTACCTTTTATGAAATGATTATTTTGGAAACACGTTTCATTTAAATCTTGCCTAAATTTGCCTGCATTATTAACTTCTCACAATACATTAGTATAACTGATAACAGAAATAAAACGGTTTTCCAAGTTCCCCGCTCACTGGTCAGTATTTACTGACATGGCCATTATCCCAGTATAACTAATAGATGGGTTCAGAGATGAGCAACAGTCCATAGAAAAGGGAAGTGGAAGTTTTATATGGGGAACTAGACTAGGGATGTCTTCCCATCCACTGATCACTGATACAGTGGATTCTTGTGACAAAATAAATTTTGTGGTTTTAAAGTGAAAAAAAAAAAGATTTTATTACTAGCAAGAAAGGAAAATAGACACTGGGAAAGAAATTGAAGTCCCAACATATATCAAATAAGGTTCCAGAAAGACATAATAAAGTAATAGGGAAGGAAGTTTTCTGGAATTGAAAAAAAAAAGACATGAAACTTCAGTATGAAAAAGCACAATGTCTCAATAACAACAAATAAAAACACGTTTATTCATAGGCACATTGTAGGAAAACTATTATGGGCCATCAAATATGAAAATAAATATCTAAACAGCTATCAAAGAGAAAAGACAGAATGTCTACCAAAAATGACTATTGAAAAGTCTACTCTGCAGGAGAAATGAACATCGCAGGACAATAAAATGCGTCAGCTATAGTGTTAGGGGGATAATGGTAACGACCTGAATAGAAATCAGGAGAACTATGAAGAAAAAGACAAAAAACATGTCAGAAGTGAAAAAAAAATTATTGGGTGGCTTAGAGTGAATCAATTGAAATATACTAAGAAACTTTGAAGAAAGGCAGAAAAACAATGAAGAAGATGAAAATGTAATAAAAGTGAAATGTTCAGAGGAAAAGAGTTTGTAATTGAATGCAGGAAAAATGGCCCCAAGTAGATATAATTGGAGTTACTGAAGAAGTAAAACAAAATAAAGGAAGAGAACCAATATTTAAAATAACAATCTAGGTAAATTTTCTGGGAAAGACTGAAGTTTATTTCTTGAAAATGGCCATTGTTTTCCCAGGAAATTGAACTGAAATCACTAAACCTGAGAGAAAGCCTATTAAAAGTATTCATTGGACCTCCTGAAAAAAAAAAAAGTTACTGATGTGGTTAAATGAATTAGGCAAACTTGAGACCAAGTAGTCCTCCAAGTATAGGCTTTGGGAAAACAGCACTGAAGGTGCGGGAACTCAGGGGAAAGAGTGGACACATGGACTGCGTGAAACATCACCAAAAAGATGTCCATCATCAAGTGGGGAAGCCTTAGCAAAGAATCGATGCTGATAACTTAATCCAGTTAACTGACGAGCTAAGATTAAAACAAGAATATGTTCTGACAATGTAGAAAGAAACACGTAAATAATGGCAATTAGAGGAAGAGACAAAGGGGAATTAGAGTAAGATCATTGAAAATAGAAAATCACCGAAAATAGGTGTGAGTCAAGCAATACAATTTAAGCCTCACAGACCTAATAGTGGTGGTTATGTAAGAAAACAAAAAGAGGACTCTGCGTTGTAAAAGGTATAAACATACATTTAACAGCTAGAACAAGTTTAAGCCTTTGAAAAATACCAAAGGAATTTAAAAAGTAATAACAGAGGTGACTCCCCATATAAAGAAACAATAAATATGACATAATACATACAGGTATTATAACAAAAAATTATGTGACAGATCTGAGACCAATATATCAGTCATATCAGTAAAAGGTGAATGGGCTTGACTCATCTATTAAAGCTAAAATGGGACTTCCCTGGCAGTCTGGTCCAGTGGTTAAGACTCCACACAACCAATGCAGGAGGCATGGGTTCAATCCCTGATCAGGGAAGTTCCACAAGCCATGTAATGCACCCCCCCGCCCCCCCCCCAAAAAAAGCAAAACCATCTTCACAGTGGCAGATAAAATAAAACCCCGCTCTATGCTGTAAATAAAGACACACCCAAGGCACATTGATTCAAAAAGCTAAGAATAAAGGGATAAGGGACTGTATACCAGGCATGGAAACAATAAGAAGATTGGTGCTGCAATTCTGATTTGGGATGAAGGAGAATTCAGGCAAAAGAGCATCATATGAGGTTACTTTAAAATGCTAAGAGTAAAAATTCATAACCAAGAAATGATTATCTATGCCCCAAACAGCCACTACCTGCACAAAGCAGAAACTACAGGAGATACACATAAACACACTAATAGTAGAAAATTTTAACATACTACATGGTGAAAGACAGGTCAAGTGCACCGGTAAGTAAGAATATAAAGGATCTAAAAAACATCTAGAATAAAGTAGCTCTTATGTATATGTATATATACCTATATCTGTCTATATCTTTATCTATGTATCACTATATATAAAAATATATCCTGAAAATAGAGAATATACCTTCTTCACAACTGCACATAGATCATGTACAAAAAGTATGTAATTTTGATCATATATCAGATCATCAAGAAAGCATTCATAAGTTCTATGTAGTAAATATATTTCAAACAAAACTCCTTAATCAAAAAAAAAACCCTCGGGCTTCCCTGGTGGCGCAGTGGTTGGGAGTCCGCCTGCCGATGCAGGGGACATGGGTTCGTGCCCCGGTCTGGGAAGATCCCACATGCCGCAGAGTGGCTGGGCCCGTGAGCCATGGTCGCTGAGCCTGTGAGCCCGGAGCCTGTGCTCCGCAAAGGGAAGAGGCCAAAAAAAAAAAAGGCCCCCGTAACAAAAAAAAAAAAAAAAAAAAAAAAAAAAAAAAACCCTCCAAAATCCTAGAAATTTGAAAAGGAATTAAAAACTCCTCAAATTCCTTCTATTTGGAAATTTAAAGCCTTCTATTAAACAACTATGGGAAGAAGGGAAATACGAATTGAAATTTCAGAATTTCTGGAAAAAATAATAGGAACTTATATTATGCCGGGGACCAGCCCCAGCTGGACAGGTTTCACCCAAAGGGGAGACGGAGTCGGCGTGGACAGAGCACAAGACACCTCAGAGGATGCAAGGATCTGTCGAATTTATTGTTATAAATCCAGAGCTTTTATATTGTGAGGCAATCTTATTTTTAATCTTAACAATCCAGTTTCCATGCCAAAAAAACTCTTACAAAGCCATAAAACAAAGGTACACAGCCATAAAACAAAGGTAATTTACACAAAGCCATAAAACAAAGGTCAGCAGGTTAAGCAGGTTAAATAATCTTTTTGTGGTCAGGTAGTCTTCCACTTCTATAGTCTCTTTTGTCCCCTGTGGTTAGGTAAATCTTGGTCACATTTAGGTCAGGAACTCTGTCTGCGGTTTTATCATTTTTCTTAGAAGAATTAGTCTTCTTGTACCTGTTTGTTCTGTTCAATCAGCCAGATCTTTAAAACACAAACTCAAGCACATTATTCTTTAGCACCAGTAAATATTTACAGGCTGTTTCAATCTACCTCTATAATCAAAGCAAGACACAGAATAATCAATAACCATAGGGGGTCTTGGGGGAGGGCATTGTACCTTAAATTTGCCACCAAGTTCCTTTGCAAAATACTTACAAAATATAATTTGTGCTTTATATCTATTCTTATACGGAAAGCAATTAAACTTAAAAAAGGCTGCCAAATAGTCTACTCTATTCAATTTGCTATATACCTACTGTAGTATAAAACCTCCCCGCCACCATATCCAAGTGTTTTTTAACATATCTCTAACTCCCCAGGAGGGCCAAAACTCATTTAGCTTTTTTTCTAACGTAAGCGGTTGCCACACAAATGCTCCTGTTGTGTTCCCCTGCACCCAATGTCCTGGCCTGGGAGTGGGGATTTCGGGTGTAGTCACAGGGGGAGCCGGAGTAATTGCAATCTTTTTCAGTTTTACCCTAAGTCGGGGTCTTTCCCTAAACCCTCCATTGGAGCTGGGAATGTTTCCCAACACTAATAACAATCCTATAAAAATCACCTTAGGCAAAAGCAGGGGAAAACAAGGGGAACCACACAGAGGAGAGCTTTGCTTCTCCATTTTGTACCTGACAGTACCAGCTTTGCTTGGCACTATGGGTCTCGTCCGTGCTGAGACTCAAAGGCACTTCCTATGTGGCTCCCGACAATATTACATGTCAGAATCAATGGGATACATTTAAAGCAGTGACTAGAGGAAAATGTATAGCCTCAAATAGCTCTAGCAATGAAAGCAAGAGTGAAATAAATGTATTTACAATTTAAAAAGTTATTCAAAGTACAAGGTAAACAGAACACAAGCACAATAAGAAAATAATAAAGAAAAATTAATGAGGTTTGGAACAGAAAATATTGGATAAATCTAATATTCCAAAATGTTGGTTCTTTGCAGATATCAAAAAAAAAAGAAAGAAAAGAAGAAAATCCACTGAACAATTTCATCAAGGAAAATGGGAGAAAGCACATATATACAAAATATTTATTGATACAGAGGAATTTGAAACAACATAAAACACTTTTACACCGCTATGGAAATATATTTGCAAATCTCAGTGAAATGAACAGTTTCTTAGGAAAGTAAAATTTATCCAAGTTAATCCCAGTAGAGACAAAAAGCTTCTATTCATTCCTATAGAAGAAATAGGAAAGTTATCAAGGCCACAAAAAGCACCAGGCCCAGATGCTATCACAGGGGACTTCCACCAAATCATTACATGACCAGATAATCTCAAAGTTAAAAAAAAATCGTAGAAAATGAATGAAAACGTCTAAATTCATTTTATGAAACAAGATTAACATTGACACAGATATGCCAAAAATAAAATATAGATCAATGTTGCTTATGAATATAGTGCAAAAATACTAGTTACAATATTAGTAAACAGGTTGAAAACCACGTTAAAAGTAAGTACACCATGACTAAGTGAAATGTATACTATGAATGCAAATCTGATTTAGTATTAGGAAACCTTTCTTTTTTTTTAATTTTATATTTGGCTACGTTGGGTCTTTGTTGCTGTGCACAGGTTTTCTCTAGTTGCAGCAAGCGGGGGTTACTCTTCAATGCAGTGTGAGGGCTTCTCATTGCGGTGGCTTCTCTTGTTGCGGAGCACGGGCTCTAGGTGCGTGGGCTTCAGTAGCTGTGGCTTGCGGTCTCTAGAGCGCAGGCTCAGTAGTTATGGCACACGGGCCTAGTTGCTCCGTGGCATGTGGGATCTTCCTGGACCAGGGCTCAAACCCGTGTCCCCTGCATTGACAAGCAGATTCCTAACCACTGCCCCATCAGGGAAGCCCAGGAAATCTATTAATATAACTCCCCATACTAATGAATCTAAGAGGAAAAATCATGTAATTATATCCAAACGTGGTTTAAAAATTTTGAATTTGGCAAAATTCAACACCTGTCCTATTAAAGACTTTCAAGAAAATAAGTACGGATAGGTACTTTCTTAACATCATAAGATATAAATACCTCAGTCTTAACATCAGACTATTAATGGGGAGGAAAGAGGCATTCCCTTCGTGGTCAGGAACAAAGCAAGAATATTTAGCAGGTCATGGGAAGCCAATGCAATTAAGAAAGAGAGAACAATTAGGGACACAAGACTTAGAAGAAGAGTAAAACCACTATTCATAGCTGATATGAAAGCATGCTTGGAAAGCCCTAGAGAAACAATAACAAAACTAACTCAAACCATAAAAGGATTTATCAGGGTAGTAGAATATAAACTTTGCACACAAAAATCAATAGTCTCCATATACAGAAAAAAATAGCCAATTAGAGTATAATGGAGGAGAGACCCCATTGATAACAGCAACAAAAAAGATAACATACTTAGGAATACATTTAATAATTTAAATGGATTACATCCATCTAGTAAAAGACAAGTATTCTCAGAATGGATTAAAGAAAGTCTAGGTACCTGCAGTTTAGAAGAGTTATCTATGTACCTAAAATACAAGGATATAGAAGGGTCGAAAATGTAGAAAGGGAAAAAGATAAACCATGGAGTTATTATCTTAAAGAAAGCTAGATTAGCTATATCAGAAAAAAAGCTATGGGGAAAAGAATTAAGGAGAATAAAGAAGGAGATTTCTTAATAATAAAAGCAATATTTCCTCAAGAAGATATAAAAATCATGTCCCTTATTCACCTAGCCGCAGGGTTCCCTGTGCTCTGCAGTAGGTCCTTATTAGTTATCCATTTTATATGTAGTTGTGTGTATATGTCAGTCCCAATCTCCCAATTCATCACTTCCCCCTGCATTTCCCCCTTGGTAACCGTAAGTCTGATTTCGAGATCTGTGACTCAGTTTCTGTTTTGTAAAGAGGTTCAACCGTATCAATTTTTATTAGATTCCACATATAAGTGGTATCATATGATATTTGTCTTTCTCTGTCCCACGCCCAGCTTCTTTTTGAAGAGGCTCGGAGACGCAGCTGGGGACACTCCCCTAGAATGCAGGGTGGCTCAAGGGGCTCACATTCTTGGGATTCTCCTGCTTTGAGTTCCCCAGATTGGCCAAGAAAGCAGGCACCTCATCCTGGGGAGGTTTCTGGAATTTCCACACTGCCTTCAAGTCCCAGCTAACCACAAGACTTGAAATTATCCCCACAGGTAACCAAGCCTGACAGTGGTCCCCAAGGAGCTGAAAGCACAGCCGGACTTGGGATGGGTTTGGAGGCTGCCAAAGGCAATCCTGAACTAAACTCCTGGCTGGACCCACAGTGGGGTAAGACACCTCAGGGACGGTGCAGTGGACCTTGTTTTTATTCCCTGCTCTGAAGTTTTCTTGTTTTCTCCATGTCCTGTATCGTAAATGACGCTTTCCAGTGTTTTCTCCTGTCTCCTTTACAGATGATTTTTTTCTTGAGGATAAGCAATACCACCCATACATTCCCACATCACACAGAGCACAGTGCCTCGCGAGAGACGCACACTCGGTAAGGACTGATGGATTGACTGGATTGCCACTCCATGGGTTTTCTCATATTGTTGCCTGATCGTTCCCCTCGTATTTTGGCAAAGAAGATTACATAAAAGAGTACAAGAGATTCCAAAGCAAAGAACGTAATTGCAGCCTAGTGTGGGCAGATCTGCCACAGCTGACTAACAGGTACAGCTGTTCAGGCTTTTCTGTACTAGACAGCTATGGAATATTTTCAAACTCAAATTATATTTGCATTTTCTTGGGTTGACATCCCAAGTTCGCCGTGTAAGTTTCACACTTAGGATAATAAAGAAAAAGAAAAAGCGAAGCTTTTACACCTTGCATTTTTTTTTAGGTCAACATCAGCAATTAGGAGGCAAAAAGGAGGTGGGGAGGAGGGAGGAATAAGAAGAAAATCCTCAGTCCTGCTTTACAGAAATTTATCATACATCTCTACTGGAATATTTGACCAGAGCTGAAATGCAGCTTTTGGATTTAGCAGGAAGTTTTGCTGTCTAACCGGCAGGCAACTGGCAGCCCAGAGTCCAGCAGAGTCTACTCCACAGCAGCTGGCCCTGGCTGTAACAGACATTCTCCTATCAGCTGAGAAGTGGGATTAGAGAGCAGTTAGGGTCTAGCGGAATCTAATCCAATATACTTCAAAATTTTATTTAAAATAGATATTTTATAAAAAATCATCTACTTAATTCACAACCCAGTGGTGTAGATTTCAAATTTCCAAATCCACTTGAAATCTATTTAATTCAATAAATAAGGAAGCAAATAAGCCAATCGCTGTACTAGGTATGGAGGTTGCTCTGGACATGCGGCAGGTTATGCCCTCCAGGAGCACGTGATCTAGCGATTCTTCAGAAAATATTTTCCACTGTTGATTTACATGCTGGCATATCTGAAGATGAGAAGCCGTACGGTTCTTGGAAAAGGCCTTATTTCTATGCATCCTGGATGAGTTCACCACTGAGCTTATCCAGCACATATGGATTTTTCTTGGAGGACCTTCAGTAGATACTTTTCAGAGGTGCTGAGAAGGTCATTGACGCTCTTAAGCACTTATCTTCCAGGTCTCCGTCATAGTTTGAATTCCAGGTATTAAGGGCGACGAGCCCTTTAGAATTTCTCCTTGTGCTGTTCTTACCAGTGTTTGGCCTCCCATCTCATGGCACACACTGGAGCCATTGGGACTTCTTTTCGGTATGTTGTAATTTCACCATAGCAGTCGCTCTAATGCTGATGTCGTGTGGCTAAATGTACTTCACTAAGTACCTTCTGATGGCATCCGAGCACTAAAATGCCACTCTGTGGTGTGTTCTCTTTACTTATGATATCGGTCTCAATGCTTTTGTTTTTGTAAGAAGAAAAATATTCTCCACATTTTTTTAAGAGGGAGAAAGAAAACCTCCCAGAGCAAAGACATCCCTCTCTTGAAATGCTGAGGGGCGGAAGATAGTGGTCAGAAAGTTGTCTGAGCTTTTCTCTTATAGATGGATCCCTGACTTTTCAATATCTAAAATGCCACTCTCACGTGACAACTTTTATAAGAGGAAAGGCTCTACCTTGGCAGATTACAACATGTTTTCATTCATTCACAGTGAATCTTCTGGACTCATTATTGATAAAAATGAGCTGGCCTTCCGTTAAAGAATGACTAAGTGCTTTTCATACAGATAGGATCTTTGGTCCTTTCTATTTTAGAAAAGCACATAGATAAGAGTTTCGATATTTTCTCTGGTCCTGAATGCCTTCCACAGACTGCAAAGGCTACCAGTAGCCATGAAGCAGCACAGAGGATGCCGGTCGGAGTGGTGTCCGCTGCCCGGCCTCCCTGTGCTGTAGGACCTGCTAAGGCCAGTGATGCGGGGTTTCTGCACCTGGCACTGGGGACTCCCACCTCCTTCTACAGGACCTGCTGCCACCTCTTGTTACACAAGGCAAGGCCGCAAGGGAACCTCTTCCCCTCAGTTTGTGTCACACCCTGGTGTTTTGGGCTCCTGACCTGTCATTCATTCATGCAGCAAGTATTTATTTATGCACGTGCTCTGGCCTGGAAACCCTGCAAAGTCTTGGGATGATGCATCAGTGAAGAAATAGACAGTGATCCCTACCCTGACGGAGGTTCATATTAAAGTGGGACCAAAGCATCCCATGTGTGGAGCAGAGTCTGGAGAAGCTTATTTGGGTGAGAAATCAAAGGAAG